CACTAGGAGCTGGGGTAGGAATTCTGGACAGTAAGTAAGGACAGACAGCAGAGCTTCCTGACACGATCATTGTGTATTGCTCATGCTGAAAGAATAAGCCATAAATTGTGGACATTTATGCAGTGGATTGAGTGAAACAAAATTAGCTACACTTCAACCAGGATCCAGCAGAGGTTATGGGGCTCAGATTTCAACTCCTCAGTGCTATGAGTGAATTTGGACTTTAAATTGAATATTTGCACAAAAGAGACTTTTAATTCAGAACAGACTTTTATATCTTCATTGACAGTGTTAATCCTTACTCTGGCCAACCTGTGCCTCCAATCAACTGAAACAGGTGTTCCAAAACACAATGAGATTAGTTATAGAAAAACAACAATTTTTTAATAATTAAATTTGGAAGTGGGGCACAATAGGGTTTGTACTATATACATTTTCACACCCCAATATATACATAGAGGATGTTAGATGAATTCTTTGAGGGAGAGAGAAAAGAGAAAAACAGTCACGTAAGGATTTTCTAAACTATAGTAGACACCTTCGTGTTTTGGTTGTTCACAACTCCTCTAACCACTCCAAATAATACTCTTTGATCATCCTCTCCCTAAAAAGCTTTCCTTTCCAATCTACAACTAGCTAGCTTTATTCATTCATCCACATTCAGTGTAGATACTAGCATATCTAAATCTCAGTAAAGAGTTTATATAATTTTGTCTCAAGAATGTAAGTAACAAAACAACATTCAATTAGTTTGCACTCCAGTTGACAATAGATGTAAATGAAACGACTAGAAAAGAGTCCAAGGTAGATCATGGTGCCTTGGCTCATAAACGTGCTCATTAGATAAAGGATTTAGGAAGGATGGCTCTGTTTTGCAATCAGGAAGACAAAATCGATTTATCAATTTGAATTGAAAAATAGGTAAAAAATGTCAGTATTTACTCACATATTCAAATATAAAAGGGAACTGATCACCACCTCCACCACCACAACCATGTGTACAAGGTTAGATCAAAGTGGTAGCTAAGAATATTACATTCTCCAGTTGTTCAAGGATGACAGTTGAGAAAGTTTGATGACAGAGGATAAAAATAACACTTGTTTGGGAATAAAGTTTTTTTTCACTGAACTATGTGAACGTTCCTCATCTCACCCACGCCCCCAGAAACCTAAGAAAATAATTTTGCAACATTAACAAGTTCACTACCTTATCAAATTATAATTATTCTTGTTTTTTGAAATGAAAAATAACTGTGTTGTAAACATAAGAATAAATTGAGTTAATGTTAAGATAGTCACTATTCGGCTTACTTCGATTTCCAGTTTTACTATATCCTAAACAATGTGCATAACCTCTGTTCAAATAGTTTTTCTAGTTGTAAAACAGAGCATTTGACAAGAGTTGGTTAATAGTAATTTAGAGGCAGATGCAGAAGCAGAAATGCTTACAATCTGAATATGCCTTGTCGACAAAGAGACTATGGCCTATTTACATTTTTTATTTAAAAGAAATATAGAATCTTTAGCTCCCAGCTTGACAGTCAGTTACAGAGAGCAGAAGGCACCTCAACATTTCCTCTGGAGGGTATTATCACTGCACTCCAGTATCAGCAGTGGGTAGAAACACATGTGCTCTATCATTACTTTGACCTTTATACTTCAAGTCAAGAGAATCCTGAGCAAGGTCAGTTTTCCTATCCAGTGTGTACTTTGCATAGATGTAAAAAAAAAAAAAAAAACCACTACATACACACACACACACACACACGTTCACAGACTTTTTCCTGTGGATTTCATTCACGTTTGAATGAAATATGTTTGTTTCTATGCTGGTGACTTTACAAGAAAACAGGCCAGGAGAGGCATTTCCTCAAAGGCTAAAAGAAGGCATTACCACCACGACCACTACTTGCCAGGGGATTTATAAAGCATCTTGAGGCTCAATGTTAGTATGGGAGATGAGCCAAGCTCAGGAGAAGTTAATACAGAAAAAAAGGTTAGTGTTTTTTTATTCCTTTTTAGCCAGCTAATACAACAAAGTACTTTAGATAGTAACTCCTAGTCGTCAGGTAACGATGTCTTTTCTGCAGTGATCACATTGGGTTTGTCTATTTTCTTTATGCTAGTGAGGTTTAGAATTGGAATTAAAATCCTTGGGGGAAAAACTATTTTTGTAATTCAGCTGGGGTGTCCTTGTTTTTGGGTTTCCCATTGCATCAGTCCCTTAGCCTGGCATGATAGCCATGATAGTACTTTTTCTTTTAGATAAAATGCAGAACTAAGGACATGGCTACTGGCGCTTATTAAGGATTCCTTGCTATTTTCACAAGAGTAGGGGCGTTAGACTCTTGTCTACTGGCCAAATTCTAAATTGGGAGATTACATTCTGCTTTCCTAAATTCCCCTAGCAGAAGCAGCCATCCATGGTATCCTACTTTGCTTCCTGTGTTAAACTGTTGTGTAATGTCATTAAATGGCTCTGGTTTTCTACTCTAGAAGTGACCATTTTTTTGTGGGGTGGGGAGTAAATTGGTACCTATTTTCTGATATTGTATTGGATTCAGTTTTAAACAAAAAGTAGGTTGTGAGAGTTAAGGATAAAGTTCAAAACAAAGCAAAACATCCTAATAGTGTACCAGGTGTTGTGGTGCTTTTTAAAAAAAAAAACAAAAACAATCTGCTTTCTCATCTGCAAAAAAATAATAATAATAATGTAATATTTTACTCCTCTAGTAGTTGACAATGAATTGTTATTTGCCTCAAACATAAGGTTAGTTCTAACAGTGATGATGAGGCTTGAGAGGATGAAATCATATATCACAAACCAGTTCAACCTCTCTTTTGTCTTTAGGCTGCATTTAACCATTCCAGGCAGTCATCTATTTCATAAAATCTTTTTGAAAGGAGAGTCTTCATCTTTTCTTGGTAACACATTTCGGTGTCTCTCAGTCTTTCCATAAAACGAAGTTCTTGGGCTGGCTCTGTGGCTCACTCGGGAGAGTGCAGCGCTGGTAGCGCCGAGGCCCCGGGTTCGGATCCTATATAGGGAATGTAGGGATGGCCGGTGTGCTCACTGGCTGAGCGTGGTGCAGACTACACCCTGCCAGGGGTTGTGATCCCCTTACCGGTCAAAAAAAAAAAAAAATAGTTCTTATTTTTGTTTAACCCTGGTTCTATCTACTGTAGTTTAGTGTCACTATGTTTTGTCCATCACTAACCTTGTTATCATATATTGCTATTGAGAGGCAGGTATAGCATAATGGCATAATTTTTGTAGTCAGACATGCCTGCATTATTCAAATCCTGGTTCTGTCACTTTCTAGGTGTGTGATGTTGCACAAGTTACTTCTGAAGTTTAATCGCCTCATCTGTAAATGAGCAACCTCAGAGCGTTGCTGTGAAGATCAAATGTGATAATATATTATTTTGAAGGATTATGGGGTAGGATGAGGCATGGTACTGGGCACCTAAAAAGTGCTCAACAAATAGTGGATATTTATCTGATTATGTACACAGATCTAAATTCATAAACTCTTTGAGAGTGGGAAGCATACTTCCAGTGTATGCTCTGGATTTCAACAGAAGTACAGTGTTGTGCATAGTATGGCGCAGAGGCTCAATATTTACAGAACGAATAAACTTCTTTTTGTTTTTTGTTTTTTCCCCCTGAGTGGAATGAACAGACCCTAGCTATTTCTAAGATACCACACAGTAAGATGAAAGGTGATAAAATCAATCAATCTTCTCCTCTTTCCAAATATGCGGAATACCTGACGTCTAGAAGTTTTGGAATGGTGTAGACACAATGCAAATAAGTTATATTTTCTAATTCTATCAAGTTCACGTGTGTGAACCTTAACACTTGATTATTATCACTATTTTTAAAATTAAGCTGCATCTTAGGTGCCCAGAATGGAATTGACTCAATCATCCGCCTCCTCATCCATTCAACATGTTTTAATTGAGAAAGTTAAAAATGAATATTAAGAACTATCTAAATATACAGTTGAGCAAAACCTTTCAGCTTGTGACTAAGTACACCACCTTCCCTATTTACCTCTAAGATCTGTTTACTACAGATACATATCTAATGCTTTGTTCCCAAGACATAAGACAAAAACAAAACCCCAAAAAGCCCACCGCTGCAAGTCCCAAAGCACAATCAACCTCTTTGAACCAATGCGGTGTTGGTTAGGACTTTATTTCTTGCTCTTAAACGTTTTCACGGGGCTAGGAGGGGAAGTAAGAAGGACGAGTACAAGATACATAGATTCAATCAGGCTTGAGTATTTGTCATAAGGAAAGAGTATTGCTTTTTTACCATAATCCCGCAAAACCTCTGGTGTGTGCTTAGGTCGGTGTTAAAGACACCGCAGCGTGGCCATATCCCCAACTGCTTTGTACATACTTTACAGGGGCGGTCTCAGGTGTGGAGCTCCGAGCACCTGCTTGTTCACACTCCAACAGTTCAGAAACCAGCGTATTTGAGGCCGGGTGGCTCAGGTTCCAGGTAACTGGGCTCAAGTGTCACTAACACTACGTGCAGCGGGGGTCACCGAGCTGTGCTTTGAGACCTTGATGCCTACTTCGGACTTTCGCCTTTTCCCCCCCGACACTAGTTTCCCTTTTCCTTCTTCCCCGGGCGTGCCCACCTCCTCCCTTTGCTCCCACTCTCCACTATCTCGCTCTCGTTTCCTTCACCT